TCCTGCTGCTTGGCAGTCTGCTAGCCAAAAGCACCAATATAATTAATGAAGATACATTTTTCAATGGTTTAGTGACAGTTGAAGACGTGTCTCAATTAGGCATTTGAGGTTCTTCTATTAAAACACTTATTTGTCAGTTAAATGCCAGCTATTCACTCCCAGGCACTTATTTGGTTTTGGCAGGAGGAAATTTTTTGGAATGTATCAATTAATTCAGGATTTTCTTCTCCTGAGCAGAAAAACAAGTCAGTGTAGGCTGTACTTTGGATTCTGCTCCCATCTATGAGGAATGTCTGCAGACTTTCACAGCTCAGACTTTCTGGACTTGGGAACAGTGTCAGTTCTAGGTCAGCATTTCATGTGGGGTTACTGAGCACATTGCTAGAGTCTGACAGTTTGTATGATGTGAAGACTCTGGACATCTCACCTTAAAGCAGTTACTAACAAACCTATTCCTTCTGTTTTATTGCAGGCCTTCAGGTGATCTCCTCGACAGAATTGACAAGTAAGAGCTCTGTGCACACTGCCAAAAAGAGATGGGGTGGGGTGGGAGAGGGGAAGCCTGAGGAAAGGAAAGTTCAGGGAAGAAGGAGGCTCTGGGGGGGAGAATGAACCTGAAGCTTAGTATAGGGAAGCAGAGGCATGATGCTCAGGTTGTAACAGTGGTAATTTTGCTGTGATTTCAGCTCAATGCCGTGATGGACTAGCAGATACTGAAAAGAAAATGGGGCAAGAGCACAAAAAAATTCAGGCCTAGTTTGTTGTGTGATGCAATGGGAAACTGTTATAAATAGAGTGTTTACCAAGGAGCTTGTTCCTGAAAACGGCTCTCATTCCTTGTTCTGTGGTTGGAAGCGGCAAGTCCTGGAGTAAGGCAAGAGTTTCCTGTGCTAGTGAACCTGTATTGTCCTATTTTCCTTTCTTTGGGCTTATCAGGAAACTGTCTCTGTACTGTCTTCTGTACTGATCCCTGCAGTTTTGCTGCTGCTGCCAGAAAAACTTTGTCCCATGGTAACAACCATGATGAATAGCTGGAGTAATACTTACTCCAGCTGTTATTCTGATCCCAGATCATTCCATAGCAAGAAAGTATCTTCCAGATTCACTTTCCAGGTACAAAGAAAGCAGACAGGATGGGCTGGCTTGTGAGAAACTTCAGTGAATTAAGTGGATAACTGAGTTAAAGGTTTTAATTCCTTAATCCATTTTATTCATTCAGTAGTACTTCTCTTTAGCTACTTTTTTACTCATTGATTGTCTGAAGTAGTTAAAATGCTAACCTATGGGTTTGTCTTTCTTGCAGTACTCACATCTTGGTCATTTAACGAAGAACTAGGAAAATAGCCAGTGAATTTGAATCCTCGGGTTCTGTCCCTCAGAGATGCTGCACAAATGCAGGGATACACACTCATGTTTCTCAGTGTAATTTGTTTCTGTTGACATTTGCAGTCAGTATCCAGGATAACTCATTGCTGTGATAATTGCCTGCTTGCCCTGTATATCATGCAGTGCATCAGGAAAGGGAGTGAAAAGGGCAGTAGTATTTCCCTGGGAAATTTAAAGCAATCACATGAAGTTACGAATTCATAAGAATTATTTCAGTCACTTGATGATGGCTCACAGTTTCCATCCTTACATTATCACCCCTCAGCAGACAGGCACCATGGAGAGAGAACTTCTGCTCTAAAGAAACACTGTGATTTTTCAGAGATAAGGGTCTCAGACAATTACTGTTTCCCACACTATAGCATCAGAATGTCTCAGATGTGGCTGCATTGTTTAAGCACCACACAAGCACATAGTAAGTGATCATTTTTCCCCTGGAGGTTTCAGTCTCCGGCCAGACAAATGAAATGGGGGTGGAGGAAATGAAAGGAAACAGAGAAGCTAAACAATCTGCCCAAAATTCACACAGTTGCACAACTGCAGAACAAAAATGAAAACACAGTTCTCTCATATCTTTCCCTTTACACTACAAGTCAATCCCCATGCCTTCTAGTTACCTGGCAAATCCGATATACTGGAATATCCAGCAAGCATGTGGAGAAACTGGCCCCTGGCTGTTGCCTGCTTTACTCATCTTTCACCAGCAGTCAATGTACTCTTACATATCGGAACAGAGCAGTATGTTGTGAGAATGGGAATATGGGCAAAGGGAGAATAGTGGAGAAAAAGCAATCACCAAGACCTTTATCAATAGCAGGCCTGAGTTTTTATAAATCAGTACAGCAAGGAATCCCTGCAGGGTTGAGACAAACCAACTTTGCTTGTTACTCTTACCCAGCAAACTAGAATTACATGTGCCTAAACAAGAGAGTAAAAAAAAAATTTCTGTAAAAAACAGGGACTTGTCATTCAGCGACTTAGCAGAACAAAACCTAGCACTGCCAAGTCCACCACTAAACCATGTTCCTAAATGCCACATCTCCCCATGTTTTAAGTATCTCCAGGGATGGTGACTCCACCACTTCCCTGGGCAGCCTGTTCCAGTGCTTGACAACCCTTTCGGTAGAGAATTTTTTCCTAATATCCAACCTAAACCTCCCCTGACACAGCTTTAGGCATTTCCTTTCATCCTGTTGCTAGTTATGTGGGAGAAGACACTGACCCCCACCTTACTACAACCTCCTTTCAGGTAGTTGTAGAGGGCAATAAGGTCTCCCCTCAGCCTCCTCTTCTCCAGGATAAACAGCCCCAGTTCCCTCAGCCGCTCCTCGCAGGACTTGTGCTCCAGACCCCTCCCCAGCTTCATTGCCCTCCTTTGGAGAGTTCTCTTTTAACATTGAAGTGAAAATGTTTGTAGCTCATAACCTGTAGGTGGACAAGCAGATGATCCTAGGGAAGACTGCACCCATGCAAAGTGTGTGTTTCTTCTAGGCCACACTAGACAAACTTTTCCAACCCTCTTGCCAGGTCCAGGTATTATTGAGAAGAGCCATAGCTGTGGAGCACCAAATGGCTCCAGAACTGGAGAGACAGAAGTTGTATCAGGAGGGTAATTTTTCAGCGGGAGTTGTTTAGGGAGTTCTGACAATTATGTGTTAACCTGAAAAAGTTGTTTCTTTTGCAAATCTAGCTTTTGGCAGTCCTGGAAGCAGTTCTGGAAACAAGGATGTGCCGGAGAACGCTATCCACTATTCTAGTGAGTGTTCCTGCTTTATTGTCCAGCTTTTGAGATTTCAGTTGATCAGTTTGGCTTTAGGTGAATAAGGGGAGTAGCAGAGAAATGGAGCTGGTGGTTTTATTTCTAGCCCTACCAGATGTAGGCCGTATTACAAACCCAGTTTAACTGCCTGTTATAAAACTCTTCTCAAAGAGAAACAGAGCTTAACAAGTTGACACCACTGTCACTGGAGAGCAGCACAATTATTCCCAAGTCAAAATTATAAAACTGAAAAAAAAAGTGAACAGACTCATTTCCTGTGGGAGAAGACACAATAAAAATATGAAAATGTCATTTATATGCTGTTATGAGAACGTATTATATTAATATATTGTTTTGAATGTACTATATGAATATATTGTTCATATTCTCATAGGGGAGAAGGATTTAGCAGGGAGTCTGCCACAAACTCTGCAAGCACTTGATGTTTGCATATGCATGTTACTTAATCTTTTATTTTAATATTATGTGTCTCTAGAGCAAGAGTGTTGCTGCAGATCTGCTCTTTTCTACCCAAAGTACTGGCTTAGCAAAATATGTTTGTTGTTTTTGCACTGTAAACTTGTCTCCAGGTTCTCCCCCTAGTTCCACAGATGCACACACACATCTATATGAATATTAAATATTAATTGCATCAAGAGCCATCAAAGTTGCTATTTCTAAGTAGCAGGCGGTCATGACAGCTGATGCTGAGGAAGGCTGCGGGAACACAGCCACAACATTCCCTGACACAGGACTTAGGCCAGCAGGCAAGGGAGCGCCTGCTAAATTTGAATGTGGCCGAACGCTGCCAGAAAAGAAGATAAATAGGGAGAAACTGGGCTTATATATTTCCTTGGGAAAGCTTCTCCTCATTACATAATTCTTTCCTTTTTGCTTCTTGGCTGGGAAACACCTGTCAGGAAACGGCAGATGGTGGGAAATAATAAAAGGAAAGAAATGTCCTCATTTAAAAAGAAGATCTTGCATTTTCTATCCCTGCTTGTAAGTGCTGTGGGGAATGTTGCTGAATTATGTAACTCCTTGGTGTCTTTCTGGGCGTACAATGTTAAAAGAGAAATAATCACTTCGGCTACTGAATTTCAGATGAATCTTGTTTTCAAAAAGGAGGGAAAAAATTGCATATATCAAAAAATTGTTCCTGAAATAGGACTGTTTCGGAAAACCTTTGGAGGCCATCAGCACTGGCCCCCAGATGGACATTGTGTTCTCCCTCTTCTGCAGGCGTTATCTTGCCAATTGTCATCACCTTGATAGTCATTACCCTTTCTGCCTTCTCACTGGTGGCTTTGTACAGAATGTGCCAGAAGAAAACTCCAGGTATTTGGTTTGCTTTCTCTGTGGGGGAAAAATATCAATGTGCTTTTTATTATTAAAAAGTCTCTGGGGTCTTTTTAGATTACCTTAACCATAGATGTTGCAGTAGTCTGATAGGAAAGCTGCTTGTATTTCAAACTATTTTGCCTAAAGTAGGAAAGTAACACTTCATTTTCAAAATCAGTAGGAAGAACAGAGGGAGCAAAATGTCTCTGATTTTTGGAGAATATGTAATGCCATAAAGCTTTTAGTTCACACTTTTCCAGCTACAAAAAGCCAACAAACAGCTCTGTTAACGCAATCAATCAGGTCGAAAAAGACAGTGAAAACTAAGATTTGAGATATTGTTTAACAAAATCACTATATTTTATCTCTGTTCTAGATTTAGGCAAAGAAATATCAATGTTATCTCTTAGGAAATACCTGATATAAACATATAGAAGTAAAATTTTCCTGTTACAGTATAATGCACGTGGGCACAAAATCCCTGAGCAAACAGTATTTTCAGAAACAGTCATTTTGGCTGATCAGTGAAAGCCAGTATCTGTTTCACTGCTGTCCATAACATACATAGGATAATGGGGAGTGTAATTCCATTAAATTCCATTTGCCAAATGTTTCAAAGAGTTGCCCGAGTGGGCCACAGGCAAATGTAATTCTCCATTAAGTGAAAACCCAGATCTGAATCCAGACTGTGGTTTTTCTCTCCCTGCAAGCTGACATGAGTTAGGAGACCTGCGCAGAGCTTCAACTGTGAAGTCACCAGGCCTTGGAATTATAAAACCACAACAGGGTGGTGAAGCTATAGACCGAGTCAAACAGTGTCGCAATCAATTTAGCCAATGACATGGAAAATCAGACCCAGATAAACGGAGGAAGATGTGATCCTTGCTTAGGAAATTACTGAATATTTTAAGTCAAGAGGTAAATATATGAGGCGAAGAACATTTTCTTGCCAGCCTCCTCCTGCACAAATGCAGCAAGACAAAGTACTAGCAGATTCACTTGGAAGCTAGAGCAGATTGATACATGTGATGCTTTCTGCAGGATTTGCTCTGGTCTGTCCCGTGTACTTCCACCATGGATGGAAAGCCCTGAGCCCAGTTCCATGGGGGTAGAATTGTCTCTGTGCCTCTGATGTAACCCCTTGACCCCATCTTCCTGCCTACATTTGCACATAAGAATAAAATATGCTTGGTATAGCATTCATTTTGGGGAGAAATCCATTCCTCATCAGCAGGGATGACAAACTCTGTTCTCAGATGTCACAGCAGGTTAAAAACCCCTGGAGTGTACAGTCTGGCAGCTTGTTCTCTTGTTGCCCTCGCCCCGTATCTTTTAGCTCGGTTGTTGCGTACTTGAGAACCATTGCACGCTCACCTCCTCTGTGCCAGCTACCCAGGGAGCTGGAGCTGCAAGGGAAAATGCACTTCTGTTGTGCTTCTGCACAGGTCACGTATCATTCTCTTTAGTTTCCAGAAGTATCAATTTGAGCAATATCTGTTCACTTTCATAGATGACATGGTTGTCTTTAGGAAAAACGAACTAGAGAAGTAACAATTGCCATTCAAGCTGGTTGATTGAATTAATGTGCTTAATGCAATACTGCAAAATCACAACTCAGCCTTCTGCTAACAACTGCAATAGCTGTGTTTAAATGTTTACTTAACTGACTTCCGGCAGTCAAAATGATATTAACTTTGTTCCTTTTTCCAGAGAGACAAGAGAATGGCACTGAACAGTAGGTTGAATCCTGTCTTTTCATTGCTTTGAGATCTGTCATGGGTCACCTGTGAATGTAGCAGACTCTGCATGAGATTTTCTTTGATCTTTCTCTGTTTAAACATAATACGTAGTTGCTGCCCCAAAGAGAAATATCCTGTTGAAAGTAATGTGCTTGTAGTTATTGTACACCTGTATGCATGATAAGCAGCTGTTCCAGTATGGATAGAAAGGTGATGACTCTCAGCTGTTTTGCAGGGTATCCTTTTGAAACAGATAAACAGCTTACGCTGTGCTACAGAGCCAATGCGCTCAGTCTTTTCTGTTTTTTTCAGGTTTTGCCCCATTTTTGGCTGCTTTTTCCTTGTCCTTTCCCATCTCCCTTCTTCATGTTTTCTCTCTTTTTAATTTTTTTTATTCTGAATTATTTTTCTCTTTTTCTTTTTCCTGTGTCCCCCATTATTTGATGTTCCTCTGTCCCATATTCTCCTCATTTGCAGAGGCTTAGTTAAAACACTCTTGGCATAAGGAGTTTCAGGAGAGTGAAACCGAAAAAGATCCAGTAGAAGAGAGATACTAGAGGCCATTGAGTCTGGCTGTGGCCTCTATGTTTTATATGACCCAAAGCAACATTCAGCTACTGATTTAATTGCTAGCCCTGACTCCCTGGCCATCTGAAGTGGTCCTTCTTGCAATTCAATGTGGCTAAAAGCCTTATATTGACAGAGAAAAAAGATTACTCCCTCTTTTTCCCCAGATGTACTTGCTCTGTGGAGCACTAGTTTGAACCTGGAGTCATGCAACCTGATTCATTGCATATTTTAAGAGAAAGGTGTTTTCAGAGATATTGTTATATGGTGTTTTCCACCACCAGGACTTATGCACAATCCCATGCAAAGCCCATTTCAAGCCTGTCAGTGTAGGCTGGCATAGGTGCTGCCTCTCCTAGATCATAATCTTAGAGGGCTTTTTTTGGCTGACCAACCTGCATGCCGAGCTGCATGCTGACTGTCTGCTTCAATGCTTTCAACAGGGCCCAATCAGATAAAGAAGGAGTCAAACTTCTCTCTGTGAAGGCAACGTCTCCTGAGACTGGTGAGTGTTTCCTCTATGTGTATGACTATCTCTCTCTCTTAGCCCCGAGAGGAACAGTTTTGAGATGTCATTTCCAATGGCAAAACCATCTTTAATTCCTGTCAGACCAAAGTCACTGCAAACAACTCCTCTACAGTGCAGATCTCCAGATTGGGAGCCTGAAGAGCTGCAGTGCAGCTGCACTGTGTGTGGTATCACTACTTGGGAGTGAGAAGTATAACTCCTTTTAGGGAAAAGTAATTTTTAAAAATCATTGCTGGTAAGTGATCTACAGCAAGGCATGTTCAAGAGTAACCACAATCATTATATTTATCAGCTATATCTGGCTATACAAGAAGGTGTGAGGACTGGTGATATCTTGGGGACCAAGAGGCTTGGGTGTCAGTCCTGTGTGTAAACAGGGTTCTGCTGGAGTTGGTGTTGGCAGTGTTCAGTCAACCCTGTACACAGCCACCCTTTGCATTCAGAGTCCTCCTCTCATTGCAAATGCCCCTGTCTGGTGCTTCACTGATCCACTTTCTTGCAAAATATGTATGGAATTAAACCTAAAGGATCAGGTAGAGCTACTCATGGTGAAACTTTCCCCCTTTACCCAGTGCAGTTTACTTCCTCAGCCATCTAGGTCCCGCCTTCACTGCCACCTCACCTGCAGAAGTCCTCCAGGAAAAACAGCCTCTCACTTTATACTTTTTTAGGTATAACACACCCTCTCCTTTTTTTAGGATTTCTGGCCATCTGTTTCCCCTACTGACATTTCAGAGGTTGCCCAATAGCAGCTCTCTCCTTTCCTTTAAATTCTCGGGATGTCCTCTGAAATGCAGAACTTGACCTGAGCTATACTGGCTGGAGAGGCACAGTCTGGGCTCTCCAGCCTTCTCTGCATCTCCCAGAAGCTTTTGCATGATCCAAAAGACCCACAGAGCTACAAACAGGAATTGTGCAAGGTCCCTGCAGCCTCTCCAGAAGGACAGAGGGGGAGGAGAAGGGTGTGCTTCATTGCAGGCTGCATCGTTCTGCCCCACTGCTGCTGAGCAAACGCAGTGAAATTTTTTGATTGATTCTGCCCCAATACCAGTTTCAACATTAAAGTAACTTCATTAGCAGCAGCAGAATTATTTGTGTCTTACAGCAGAGTAAACGAGAACAGAGTCAGGCTCACTGCTTTTTTCACAAGGTGAGGTCTGGTGCCTGTTAATCAGTTACTGGTTCACCAAATATCCCAGTATCTTCCACCCAGAGGATGCCTGACACTTTTTTTTTTTTTTAACTGAAATATGGTGTATGCATGCTATAATTGGAAGGCATGAGTCATAACCACTTAGAAGACAAGATTCTTGCTCTCTCCTCATTAATACAATTCATATTTAAACTAGCTACCATTTTCTCTTGAATTCTTACATATTTTTGTGTTTCAAAATTAAACATGCTTTCACAGAAATGGAAGTTCTGTTTTTCCCCAGGTTTTTAGAGACATTTTCCTTCTTAAATTAAAAGCACTCTAAAAGAAGGGCCTATTTTCTTACAGAAATATTTGTCACTCATGCAAGTATTTTCAAATATATTATGATACCTGCCTGTTTGAATAAGATTTACTTACTTCATTAAAAGCTCAGGCGTAAAAGCAAGTGTTTCTCACAGCACAGGTGGAAGCTTAAGAAATATCCAACTTGTCCCTCTTACAGCTACTGACAACAACTGCACTGTGTAAAACTTCTTTTCATGTGTTCTTCTTTTCCTTTTTAGACACAAAATCCAGTTCAATTAAAAGGTGAATTCACTGGCCAACTGCTTAGTGTGTGTACAGTCAGATCTCTGATTGTACATACCAACAAAACTAAAAAAGTTTTTAACTAAAACTAGAACGTTCTTAAGAGAGGCCTTAACTTTACAGACAGATGTGCGTCATCATATCAATAGGCTGCTCAGCTGCCTAAGGTCAAGCACACATACAACAAAGTTCTGCTTTGACATTTATTCAGTTTCAGCTTAATTAGAAGCATACTTTATTTTTTTATTATTTTACTTTTATTATTCCAAACAGAAGATTTTGAGATTGTATAATTGTTTTCAAAATGTTCAAAAATTATATTGACAAACCAGATAAGGATATGATGTGCAAACTGCTCAAGCAGGCAACCTAGAAAAACTCTGTCAGTGTTGTGCATGGTATCTTGATCAAATGTTATGGTGAGTTTAATCTTGCCTTATTTTATTTAGAAATTAAGTCGACTCCACATAGGCAGTTGAAAGAGATATGTGTCCACAGGACTATTTATCCCATTTGTCTTGGATGTGTATCTTGAACTGGAATGAGCTGACCTATGGAGGTCCATTGACTACTGAAGGATCCTATTTTAGGACTTCTAAAATTAGGTTCAGACTATAAATTAAAAGAAAAAAGACTCCTTTTTCAGAAGCATAGCTGAATTAGATTTAATCAAGAATATTATTTCAAATATGTACAATTAATGTGAGAAGAACAGTGTTCAACTAAGCCTGGACGAAAGCAATGGTTTTTAATGGAGCGATATCATCAGGAACACTAGGTAAAACCGAGTTCTAATGTTTTCATTTTTTAAAACTCTTCTTAGAAAGATGAATTTGCTGATGGCTATGATCTCCAAGGCATAACTGGTTGAGAATTGATGTAATGTAAAAAACTAGACAGGTAAAACTAAACACCTTGAATTTTTCATGGACATTTGCCAGTGAACTGCAACACCTGATGCCAGATAAGTGCCTGTGCTTGCACCTTACCTGAAAACTCAGCTCAGATAAAAATGCTTAGGATACTGAACTGTCTCAAAAGTTTTACACTAATGTGTAGATGCAGGACTTATTGCAGACATTCCATGTTTACTATACAGACATATTTAAGGTGACTTTTACTAGGGAGAATAAATGGTATTCTACAATACAGACCTCTAGAAAATCTACCTGCAAAATTATTTCTTATTTGGCATTCAATGTAGCTCACAGAACTGCACGTTTGGCTTGTCAGTGGTAGATATGTTTCCTGAGAATGTAAGATGGAGGGTTTTACTTGATGACTAAGAGATTGATACCCTCATCTGTGATGTTAATGATAAAGTATTGCCTGTCTTGAAAACATACCAAACTTTTGCTGTAAGGGTTCTTGCGTATTTCACTGAAAACCAGCAAAGGTATTGATCACCATTTGGGACTCATGAAAAATGTTGAGGGATGGAAATTCCTCAGTAACAGAAAGGCTGAGGAATAGAAATCGAGGTCAGGCTACTCCATACAGATGAACGATGCATGATTAGAAATATTGATGCCCGAGTCATGACTTGATAATTTTCTTTTATGGCCCTTGCCTGGAGTACCCATTCTAGAGCAAATAAGATGTAGGAAGGGGCTCTATAGTAGCAGCACACCAGTTCAATATTCAATATAAAGTCTTTTAGGAATGTGGCAGGTGACATAATATTGCAGAATTGTTAGGTATAATCCTGGCACCTAAGCATAAGCTGATTGATTAGGGCACATTTTGTAGCCGGTGTGTGCTCTTTTGAGATAATAGGGTAGAGTATTACTTACTGGGCTTGCAGGGGTATTGTCTGTTCTGCATTTAATTTGCTGGAAGGATATTAAATGTGTCAAAGCTGATGTGGCTCAGATTTTGGTGAGGGACCTGGAATGGAAGGTGGCTGGAGAAAGGTCCCTGGTACTTGTCTGTACAAGGGCTTCCCAAGACACCCACAAATGAAAATTCGAGCTTTGCTACTATACAAAGTTGGGAAAACGCACCAGGCAAACATGGATATTTGAGGAGAAACCTGACCTGTCACATACAAAACACCCTTAACTTATTGTAATCACATTGAAGAAAGAGATTAGTCAATATCTAGAGATGCTCTCAGATGGCAGGGCAGTCCACGTTATGTGAACTGAGGATATAGAACAACCAGCATCCCCCATATGCTCCACATCTCTTTCAAAAGCTGCTGTTGGTTAATGGTAATAACACCTTAGAGCTGTTATCGGCTGCTTCAACTGGATGTACCTCCGGCCTGTAGATTTTCATACCATTTCTTGGGTGCGTCCCTTGCGCAAGATGAGCTACATACCTTGAAGATATGTAGGACTTCATGGCATAGATTAATTGGATCCCATAACTTCAGTCACTTTTGAGATGACCCTAGTTTGTGCCTGCAGCATTCCTCGGGACCTACTGGATTTCCAAAGCCTTCTCTTTAAAGGCTTCGAAGATTCAACATCAGAGGCTGGTGACTGTACTGGACAGTGACCGAGCACCAAAATAATCCCAGAACAAAGCAAAAAACAAACCTGTTCTTGTTCAGCACAAAAACTCATGTTGGTCATTGGAATACACATGAACTTCAGCATCTGACAAGACAACTCACTGTGGTGCTAGGATTTGGACCTGGAAAGTCCTGTGGTCTTCTGAAATCCTCTGGTTGAATGACAACTTCACCGCCTTCCATGAACCTCCAAAGACAGTTTAATTGTTCTGCCTCGAACATCAAATGTAGATGTGGCTGTGGTACAGATCTGGAGCTGGAGCAGAGGATTATTCCTTCTTGGTTTCTATTATGCTGAGAAAATCTGAGCATAGGCCATGGCATTTAAGGAGGTAAGAAATATTTGGGGTTTACTTCATCTGGGGCTCAACCCAGGGAAATTTACCCTTGTCCCAAATTTTTACCTGGGGGCACGGTTCCCTAGCGGGCCATGGCATTTCTCAGCATGCTTTTGTAGTTTCATCTGTCTTTCATTTTGTCTAGGATGCAGGTAGATGCCCCTAGAGGCAGGTGAAGAGGTCTCTAGGTGAGGCGTTGTGCCACTGAAAATTCCCTTCTCCTCTCACCTGCAAGATAAGCAATGCGGGTCAATGGAGAGCAGTCTGCTGGCATGCTGTGCACTTAGAGGCGGTAAGAGGGAGCATTTCTACTAATGTGAGGATATGATATTGATTCTTTCTTTTTCCTATTATGAGCTGTCCTTTCAATGTCTTAATTTTTTTTTCTCTGCAGGTAGAAAACCTAGAGGCTGCTTCATAGAAAAGGATCCCCTTGCAACAGACAGATAATACCTGCTTCCCTTTCCTTCTCTTTCTCGTTTTCTGATACTCTGGTTTTTTAACCTTGCATTGTATAATGGCCTGAAGTTGTGTTTTCTTTCTTCATGGAAACTGAAGAATAAATTTTCTCAGCTTTTTGCAGCTCATGGCTGGATTGTTTGTGTTTACTCGCACTGCAAAGATCTGACTACACACAATTCCCACTGAGACTTTTGGGCAAAACTGTAGTCAAAAACATTCAATAGTGGATGCTTCCGTCTATATTTCTAATTCAATATGTGAGCTGTGCCTATTTGCAAGGGTTTTTAAAGCAATCTCTTGCAGTCAGAGACCACTGAAGGTTGGGTGATGTTTTTGTGTGTTGAGCATTTGCTACCTTTCCAGCCTTCAGCTTTGGGCAGCCAGCTCCCACACTTTGCTGGCTGTTCAGCAGCAATTGCCTTCCTGTCCTTCACCTGAACCTTTCTGTACATGTGCTCTCTGCTGTGAGGGATTGCACAGACCCCTCTGTCCTGCTGGCAGTGGTGGGGGGCAGTTTGCAGGGGCACTGGTGAGGTGCATGACAGGGGAGCACTGCAGCACGTCACAGGTGCTGGGCTCACTGCCCCACACCAAACCCAGCTGGGGCATCCAGGCTGGGTACAGCTCTGTGCTGTTCTCCAGCATCTGTAATGCACCCCACTTTCTGTAAGTTCAGTGTGGTGAAGAGAGATGTTAGATTCCTGTGTCTACTGAGGTAGTTTTGTACTTTTATAAAAAATAGGTCTCTGCAATCATATTTTATGAAAAACTTGCTTTAATTCTTTGCTCTAAACCAGATGCCACTTATGAGCAATTTCTCAGCAGCAGACATTACAGTGAAATAACAGTGCAAATCATTTTTTCTTACAGACAATGCAATTTGAGATGCAGTACAACCTATTTTTTATGTCAAAGACTATTCGTTATATCCTTTTTCTTCCAGCTTTCCCAAAAATGTCAAAGAGGGCTTTGCCCAGGTCAAAGTCTTTCTGTACTCAAAGCGATATGACCTGTTAAGTCTCTTTTATATCACCATGTTCTGCAGCGTATGGGCATTCTGAATAGTATATTCAGATGCTGATTCAAATGGAGGAGAGGGAAGGAAATTGCAGTGAGATTCATAAAATGGTCTTCCACAAAGGTGAGACAAATAAATGTTTGTTTCAAAGTTGCAAAATTGATTTTACATAATCTGTAATGTCAGCTGATTATGTGCCCATTACTTATTCACATATACAGGCATCAGGATGCAACATTAATAGTCACAAATTAGTGTATTTGTGAGAGTAAGAAATCAAATCGAATACGGCACAAGTGAGATTTTAATTATGAAGAAAACCATGCATTTTCAGTGAAGTACTGTTACTTTCTTGGTTAAACATGTAGTTTTGCAGAGCCCTCAGTGTCTTCGTACTCAGTCTACTTCCCACATACTTTAAACAAATATGTTGAAAGATCAGGAGTTATGAATACAATTTTTTTCCTATTCCTTCCTATTTCGTTCCTTACCCTCATCCTTCTTAAGCATGAGTGCGTTTTAGAAGAGGATGTATGCAGTGTGTATTGGATCAGGTCCAGTGGCTAGACTGCCCGTTTACTTGGGTGTATCAGTGTCTGGGGCTCCAGAAGTGTTTGAGGGGTGCCACGTGAGAGGCTGTGCGTGTGAAAGACCAGTGCTGTGTCACAGTAGTTCCTAAAGCATCTTCTCTTTTAATATTGAGCTACAATCTGAGCCAGCTGTACCTGCTCAGGTCCTGGATCTGTGTAGCCTCAACTCCTGCCACTGAAGGTGGCTGGCACAAGGTGTGAAGGGAAGGACAACAAACAGGGAATAGTTGAGTAATGTGTCCCCAACCATAGCCTTCCAGCAGTCTGTGGCTTGGAGATGTCCTGAACCAGAGGTTGTGTTTTTGATGCTTCATAGCTCTCAGTGTTTTTTATTTCCATGAATTTGTCTTATCCCTGTGGCATCTGCAGCCTCCTGTGGCCATAAGTTACACAATTTAAGTACCAGTCTGTCTGTATTCTGTGACAGTAATGCTTAGAGACTTCATCGTGCCCGTGTCTTTGTGTTTACAAGCCAATTTCAGACAAAAATCAACAAACAGATGCAACGTCTGAGGATGAGAGGGAGAGTAAAAGGCTTAATGGAAGGGTTTGCTTGTCAGCTAAAACTTCCATGTCAGTGTCAATCTGATTTCATTTTCCAAATATTCTGCCTGAGGCCTCTTTCTCAAACTGTGCATCATTTCTTTCAGTTTTTGTAGAAGTGCGTGATATGTATGAGGTTGGCTTCTCACTGCCCTCTGCCAATCTAGATGATCCCACAACTCCTCCTCCATCAGGAGAAGTGTCTCAAGGCAGGACCACAGGTAAAGGGGGGCACGCTGCACTCACAGCTGCGCAGCTGACAGCTCTGTAACTGCACCAAATACATTCTCCCAGTTCCCTTCATCTCCCCCTTTTTGCAGTTCACTCATTTACTTCTCAAAGTAGATGAATGTGCAATTAATTTTCAACCCATTACCAGAAGATTATTGCCACAGTACCTATCAAATTGGATCAACTGATACCCCTATGCAAGATGCTGTATAACTGCATTGTGAGAAGCTGATGATTCAAGTCTGTCTTGATACCTTCCATCGCCTAGTGTGCAACACTAGAGTTTAAGCGTGCCATCCTCCCCTAAATCCAGAATCAACACAAGCCAGTTTTTCACCAATGATGGCAGTTTTGCTTTTGTTGCTATATTTTGTGTAACTATACCCTTTCTCTCTTGACGACAGCCTTCAGAGCATGCAGCTAATCTGTCTGGACTGGTTGAGCACCGCCACTGCACTGCGTGTTTATCAGCAGTTTGGTGTGAAATAATTCCTTCAGTCAACTAAAATATCATCTGTTCTAACAAAATACTAAACACAAGGATTTGTTTTTCATTTCCTTTACAGGAAGCAAGGCCTAATCCATTGTTTTTAGTAGGTGATGGTTCAGGGACAAGTTTGTTATTTTGCAGTCTTGGAATTAATTTCTATCAGTTAATGCTATTTTGAGATCAATAAAAATGTCTTTCCACTTGCAACTAGTCTGAATGCTCTTCTGAATTTGCTCTTTGTGTTGCAGCTGGATATTCAGCACAACCTCAAACTGCTGAGCAGTTAGACACCAAAATTGTTCTAGATGCCTCTCTGTGCAGTCCCAAGGCATAGTGTGGCCCTGTATCTAAAACCGTGTGTTACCTGTGTCACTCTTGAACAGAAGGCATCTGTGTGGCCATTTCTTCTCCAGTATATAATAACTCTGTCTTCATCACTGAACTGTTAGTTGGCATTTATGATTATAGACTCTATAATCACAGAATCACAGAACACGTTAGGGATT